CCTGTGGTTGAATAGAAGACACCTTCCTTTTGTCTTTAGCTTTAGGAGAAGATGCTGAGATACTGGATGTTTATTCTGTCTTAGTCTGATTGGAGTAATGAGAGAGAAGAGGAGAATGGACTTTGGCTTTTTCAGTGTTTTTTCCCCTAAAGGGTGATACTGCTGATGTTTCTATCAATTTTACACATAATATGTGGCTATGAAACCATATATCTCAAGTAACTAAAAATCATTGTTTATTATTTAAAGCCAACAAAACAGTATAACAGTTTTAAGTTCAGTAATATTAAGTATTGTATAGAAATATATTGGAGGCAAAGTTCAGTTGATGACAATTGTGTATATGTTACTGATGCTGTAAATTATTTTTAATAAAGAAAATTGTATTATCACATTTGATTCTTGCTATATTTTGTAGTAGTGTGGGACAGGTGCAGGTGGTTCACTCCTGTAATCCCAACACTTCGGGAAGCCAAGGCAGGAGGATCACTTGAAGTCAGGAATTTGACCCCCCACCCTGGACAACATAGCAAGACCATATCTCCAAAAAAAAAAAAATGGCGTGCTGTGGTGGTGTGTACCTGTAGTCCCAGCTACTTGGGAGGCTGAGGCAGGAGGATCGCTCGGGCCTAGTTGGAGGCTGGCTGCAGGGAGCTATGATCATGCCACTGCGCTCCATCCTGGGAGGCAGAGCAAGCCCTTGTCACTAGTGTGTTGTCACTGTGAATTTTGTGTTTGTGTGGTGTTAGCACTGAATCGTAAGCATTTTTTTTTTTCAATATTTCCCTATCATTCTGTTAATATCTATATGATCTGTGAAAGGATCCCATTTTATGACCAATATTGGTAACTTGCGTTTTCTTATTTTTCTTGATGTCTTTCTGAGGGGTTAGAAATTGAATTAATTTTTTAAAGAGCCATTTTTTTTTTGAGATGGAGTCTCACTCTGTCGCCAGGCTGGAGGGCAGCGGCACAATGTCAGCTCACTGCAACCTCCGCCTCCCAGGTTCAAGCGATTCTCCTACCTAAGCCTCCTGAGTAGTCTCAGCTACTCAGGCACGTGCCTGAGCTAACTTTTGCATTTTTAGTAGAAAAGTGGTTTCACCATGTTGGCCAGGGTGGTCTTGATTTCTTGACCTTGTGATCCGTCCGTCTCAGCCTCCCAAAGTGCTGGGATTACAGGCGTGAGCCAGTGCACCCAGCCAAAGAGCCAGTTTTTTTTTTACATTACTTATTTTCTCCACTGTTTTCTGGTTTGGGTTTTTTTTGTTTTGTTTTGTTTTGTTTTTTGGTTTTTTGTTTTTGAGATGGAGTCTCGCTCTGTTGCCCAGGCTGGAGTACAGTGGTGCAATTTCGGCTCACTGCAACCTCCACCTCCCGGATTCAAGCGATTCTCTTGCCTCAGCCTCCTAGGTAGCTGGAATTAGAGGTGTGCGCCACCATGCCTGGCTAATAATTAGTTTTGTATTTAGAGACAAAGTTTCACCATGTTGGCCAGGCTGGTCTCAAACTCCTGACCTCAGGTGATCGGCCCTCCCCAGCCTCCTAAAGTGCTGGGGTCACAGGCGTGAGCCCTCAGCAGCCCAGCCTGTTTCCTGTTGTATTGGTTTCTGCTCTTAAATACTTCCTTTGTTACTTAATTTCCTCCTTTCCCCCAGCTTTCTAAAACTTTTTCTCCAATGTAAATGTAAATATTTAAATTTCCCTCTAAGCACTGCTTTAGCTGTAACCCACTGTGGAGACTAAAGCCAATTTTGAACATTTTAAACAACTTGTAATATACAAAGGAAGTATCGTAAAATTGCTGAGCCATTGTTTTATAATATAAAATCATCTCTATACTCAGTGTAGACTGTTCGTTTCGTTTCACTCCACTGTTTTTTTTTTTTTTTAATTATAAAAATAGAGGTGGGAGGGGGCCTCAATCAGTCCTCCCATCTCAGCCTCCCAGACTGCTGGGATTACAGGCCTGAGCCACCATGACCAGCCACTGAGCTGTCTTTGAGAGCCACTACTTAAAGAGGTCCAGTAGCCGGGCGCAGTGGCTCAAGCCAGTAATCCCAGCACTTTGGGAGGCCGAGGCGGGTGGATCACGAGGTCAAGAGATCGAGACCATCCTGGTCAACATGGTGAAACCCCGTCTCTACTAAAAATACAAAAACTTAGCTGGGCATGGTGGCGCGTACCTGTAATCCCAGCTACTCAGGAGGCTGAGGCAGGAGAATTGCCTGAACCCGGGAGGCGGAGGTTGCGGTGAGCCGAGATCGCGCCATTGCACTCCAGCCTGGGTAACAAGAGCGAAACTCCGTCTCAAAAAAGGGAGGTCCAGTAGCCAACTGAAGAAGCATTAATACATTGTACTAAATAAAGAAATGACTTTTTTTTCCCCCTTTAGAAATGGATCTCACTATGTTGCTTAGGCTGTCAAACTCCTGGGCTCAAGCACTTTTCCTGCCTGAGCCTCCTGTAATAGCTGGAACTACAGACATGAAAGCCACACCATGCCCCGCATAAAATGACATATCTTGTACATTGGTGGAACTTTAAAAAATCGTGATAGCCAGTGTTGGCATTATCGAGAGGAAAACAAGATTTGGCGACACGTATTAAGAGGCTTAGGCCGGGTGCAGTGGCTCATGCCTGTAATCCCAAGACGTCGCATGGCTGAGGCAGGAGGATCACTTAACCCAGGAGTTCAAGACCAGCCTGGGAAGCATGGCGAAACCCGTCTCTACAAAAAATTAGCCAGGCGTGGCGGCGCGTGCCTGTAGTCCCAGCTACTTGTGAAACAAGCGGGCAGATCCCTTGACCCCAAGAGGCAGAGGCTGCAGTGAGCCGAGATGGTGCCACTGCATTTCTGGGCGACAGACTGAGACCCTGTCTTAAAAAAGCTTTAAAGGAGTTTATTCTCTTATACTTAGTAGTATTACGCTGAGCAGTTTAAACACATCATTTAAAATTTACAAAAGATTTACGTATGAGGATATTTTTAAAAACAAGGAAATGCTCACTTAAAGTGAAAAAGGCAATTTACAAAGTACTTTGTTTTCTTTTTTGAGACGGAGCCTTGCTCTGTCGTCCAGGCTAGAGTGCAGTGGTGCAACCTCCGCCTCCCAGGTTCGGTCAGTTCTCCTGCCTCAGCCTCCTAGTAGCTGGGATTACAGGCACCCACCACCATGCTCGGCTAATCTTTGTCTTTTTAGTAGCAATTGGGTTTCACCATGTTGTCCAGGTGGGTCTCAAACTCCTGAGCTCAAGTAGTCCCCGCCCCCATTGGCCTCCCAAAAAGCTGAGATTACAGGCGTGAGCCACCTCGCCCTACCAAATACAGTATTTCTGAAGAATTCAGGGAGTGTAAACAGGCACATCCCAAAAAGGGCAGTTGTGGATCCATCCAGTAGCCCTGACTCCAGTTGTCACGATTTCCAGATTCAGTCTAATTCCCATTCCCTGATGCAAGAAAAGTAGAAAAAGACCAATAGAGATGGAATAATGAGAGGTGGAAGTCATTGAGAAGCCACTGGAGGGAAAAAGCACGCAGAGAGGCCTAAGCGGGCCGGATTCCAATTCTGATTACAGAAAATCCAAGTTGAAATCACTCTTTGACAATCTAAATGAATCAGATATTATGTTCCCCTGGGGTTGTGAAAAAACGGTCCTGCTTTTTGGTGATTGGAGGTGAAGCAGCTAAGAACAGTATCTAAAGCAGGGGAAGAAGCAGGTGGTTGATACGAGTTTGGGAATCATCCAAGTCAATCGGCGACTGTAGATAACCCGAGTGTGTGATATCCTGGCAGAAAACAAAGGGTGGATGTGCGTCCTCGAAAGCGAAATACAGACCAAGGTGCAGGCGTGCGTGGACCGGTGCCCAGGACTCTCTTCCAGCAGCCTCCATAGAAAGAGTGCTCCCACTTCGCGGGGAAGTCCTGCCCCGCTGGAGAAGGGCAGCGAGCTGGGTATCAGGGCCTCATGCCCTTGACAGTTAAGGTCATCCAACTAACCTGGCTGTTACCCCATGAATCTCGTAGAGCCTTCTGAAAACCATGGGGTCTCTGCGGACTTCACCGCAGGAAGAGAACCCACTGACTGCACTACCCACATGAAGAGTCTGACTCAGTCACCAGTTCTGTTTCTCAGTGTAAATGAATCATTCATTCCCTCACAGGAGACCCGAACCGTGGTGACCCCAGCCCCCTGGAAAGCCTGTCGGAGGGGGGCTTCGCGCTCTCTACACATCTATTATGTCGCATTAAATGGTTTGGGAAGAAGGGGGAAAACTCGTGCTGTGGCAAAGAGCCTCAACAGAGCAGGGCGGCCTGTGACCGCCAGCTTTCTCGTTTCCGGTCAGTACCAGGAGCTGGTATGCCCACTGGGTAAATAGGCCCGTTCGGGGTTTCTGTTCTGTTCTGTTTCTGTTTTTGTTTTGAGACGGAATCTCACTTTGTTACCTAGGCTGGAGCGCAGTGGCGCAGTCCGCGGACGGCAACCTCCGGACCCTTGCAGTTCCTGGGGGTGGGATGGGGTCGAGTCTCCCTGGGGCCACGTGTTCCGAAGGTGGCCTCCAGGATACATGCATCCGGCAGAAGGACGGAAGGCTGGGAGACGGGGATGCAGCCGAGCAGCAGCGCTACCGCCACCGCCACGTGGACCCCGCGAACTCCGAGGTGCCACTCAAAAGCCGGAAGCCCGCCCACTTGGGGGTGGGGCTGCAACCCAGAGAGCCAGTCTGGAATCAGAAGCCAAGTCCGTGAAAATGTAGCCGGATTCTGACTGGGACACTCGCCGTGAGAAGGCGGGGCAGGGCTCCAGAAAGCCAATCAGAAGCCCGGCCTCGGAATTCCTGCTCGCAGCCCCCGAGGCGGGGCCGGGAAGAGGCGTGGTCTCCCGGCCGCGCCCCGCCTCCCAGCGCTCTGCGCTGACTGGGCGGCGGCGGACCCGGAGGGCCAATCAGAAGTCAGGCCCGCGGGCCTCGGGGCGGGGCGCCGGCCCGGCACCTCCCCGCGGCGGGGATCGGGGCCGCGGCCGCAGAGCTCGGCTGCGGGAGCGCGGGGTCCGCCCGGGACGTCGCGTCGCGGCCGGTGAGACCAGGGCGGGGAGCGGAGGATCGGGGGCGCCCCCGAGGGCGGGGAGGCTCGCCGCGGTGCGGAGCCGGGGTCCTGTGCCTCGGCGCCCCCGGCTCCCCTCAGCCCGCTGCGGGCGCGACGGGCGGGCCGCCCCCTCCCCGGGCCTCGCGGGGGCCCGGACGGCGGGGCGGGACCCCGGGGTGGAGGCCGCGCGCCGGACTCGCGCCCCCTCCTCTCTCGTCCCGCCTCTGGGCGCCGCAGCCCGTCGCCCGCCGGGAGGACCCTTGGAAGCCCCTCCCGCTGTCTTTGCAGAGCGGTGCGTGCGGATTCCGCGCCTTTCTGTTTGGTGATCCCCTCGGGGTCCCCGTTCCGTGTCGTGAGCCGCCCCGGGGGTTCATCACTGAGCACCAAATAAGGGGCGCGCTTAGGGCTGGGAATACGGAGACGGACTGGGTGTGACCCCTTGGCAGGACACAGCAGAAGGGAACGGAGGAGAAGGAAGGCGGAGTTGGAAGACACGCCAGGGTGGAATTCGCTAGACTTCGTTACACGTTGGGAGGGACGGACAGGAGAGCATCGAGAGCGACTCGTGTTCCTTGTCGGGTGTGCCTTGCGCAAAGTGCAGAGTGTGAGGTCCAGTCCCCCTGGCTGTGGGGCAAAGGTGCTGAGATTCGTGCGCAGACAGTTGGAAAACACTTGCTTCCTACGGGCTTTTTTAGGAGCTAAAATACTGTTGGCTGGATGTACAGACCAACGACCTGTAGGACCTGAATTCCTCCTCTCCCTTTGAATGAAGTAGGAAAAAAATTAGTTTTTTAAAATGCGTGAGTGAACAACATAGTGAGACACTGTCTCTTTAAAGAAAGAAAAAGGTGCCGGGCGCGGTGGCTCACGCCTGTAATCCCAGCACTTTGGGAGGCCGAGGCGGGTGGATCACGAGGTCGAGAGATCGAGACCAACCTGGTCAACATGGTGAAACCCCGTCTCTACTAAAAATACAAAAAACTAGCTGGGCATGGTGGCACGTGCCTGTAATCCCAGCTACTCAGGAGGCTGAGGCAGGAGAATTGCCTGAGCCCAGGAGGCGGAGGTTGCGGTGAGCCGAGATCGCGCCATTGCACTCCAGCCTGGGTAACAAGAGCGAAACTCCGTCTCAAAAAAAAAAAAAAGAAAGAAAAAAAGCAAACTTAAAAGACAGAACTTTAGAGGCACAGGATACTAGAGCTAGAGGGGACTTGTGGTGATCATCTAGTCCAACTCGGTTTTAGAGGAGACATGGCTAGTCCGCAAGTTTCAGAGGTTAGGTAGTAGAGCTGGGACTAAAATATGTCCTATTTCTCCCAACACAACTTTTTATCACGTAAGTCTCTGTGGATGGCCAGCCCTAACAACCTTCCTGTTACACAGCTGTGGAAAACAGAGCTCTCCAAACAGGAGCTTAATAAGTCAAAGATTTTATGGGAACATCTGGACGAGAAAGGAAATTGGTCTTCACCAGTTGCCTCTAAGTTTCCTTCCAACTTTAAGAACTTACAATTCATGTCAAACTCGGAATTGTTCTAACATCTTTAACGCTTTGGGACTTGAAAATGACTCCAGGATTTCATCTTGGAGTTAATGCTTCAATTCATATTACATTCTGAATACTTGCCATATATCAGTTTACATACATCCAGAAGAAATGTTCAAATTCCAGCCAGCACGGTGGCTCACGCCTGTAATCCCAACTCTTTGGGAGGCCGAGGTGGGTGGATCACAAGGTCAAGATACCCAGACCATCCTGGCCAACATGGCGAAACTCCGTCTGTATTAGTAAAAAATACAAAAATTAGCTGCGTGTCGTGGCACACTTCTGTAGTCCCAGCTACTTGGGAGGCTGAGGCAGGAGAATCACTTAAACCTGGGAGGCAAAGGTTGCAGTGAGTCAAGATCACCGTGGCACTTCAGCCTGGTGACAGAGCAAGACTCCGTCTCAAAAAAAAAAAAAAAGAGAAATTCCTTGTAAAGTTTTAAGCCTAAATACAGTGTGACAGGATATGTTGGTTCCCAGAAGTTTCAAGTGCAAAGATTGTTTTGAAACTCCATTTAGGCTTTGTCACAATATCTTCAGTGAACAAAATCTGAATGGCTCAACTTGCTTCTGAAAGCAAATGCCTGGTTAGAAAGGAAACAGGAAACATGACTGTCAAAAATGCATTGACTTGTCCTAACAGGTGATGGAAAGCGAACAGTGGCACAGCTCTGCAAGTTCAGAGGCTGGAGCGATCCCTTCGGGTAGGAGGATTGGGGAAGGCCCATGTGAGGGGGCGGCGGTTAGCATTTGAGGTTTACCTTTCCCTTTTCTTTTTCTTTCTTTTTTTTTTTTTTTTTTTTTTTTTTTGAGATTGAATTTCGCTCTTTCACCCAGGCTGGAGTAAAGTAATGCAGTCTTGTCTCACTGCAACCCCCAGCCCCTACCACTCCCCAAGCCCCCCACACACCGTTTCCAGTGATTCTCCTGCCTTAGCCTCCTGAGTAGCGGGGATTATAGGCACCTGCCACCATGCCCAGCTAATTTTTTTTTTTTTTGAATTTTTAGTAGAGATGGGGTTTTGCCATGTTGGCCAGGCTGGTCTCGAACTCCTGACCTCAGGTTATCCATCCACCTCGGCCTCCCAAAGTGATGGAATTAACAGGCGTGAGCCATTATGCTTGACCTACCCTTATTTTACTACAGTCGTTAGGCTGTAGTCCTGGGACTGAGGCAGGGAGGGGGTCATACGTTAGATTTCTGGTGTATCTCCCTGAAAGCTATCCCCTTTCCCTCACTGGAATTAGGTGGGTTTTTGCTGTGACAGAGCCAAAGAAATTAGGCATTAACAGACATATGGTCTGATTTTGGGGAGTTCCAAGAAAGTCCTAAGATTCACCTCCCTTGTTCTAGCCAGTTTCTCAGAAGGGCTCTTTCTTTTTTAAAGGTAGTTGATATTCACAGATCTTACTAGTTCACCTAAGTTTTAAGTTAAGTTTTGACACATGTAAGCCATGTAACCAAAGCCTAATCAAAATATAGAACACTTGCCGCTCAGACAGTTCTCCACGTCCCTTCTCCGTCAGAAGGAACAGATCCTCCACTTTCCACAAAAGCTAACCATTCATTCATTCATTCATTCATTTTTAATAGAGAAGGGATCTCATTATATTGCCCAGACAAGTCTTGAACTCCTGGCCTTGAGTAATTCTCCCACCGGGGCCTCCCAAAGTGCTGGCTAGGATTACAGGTATGAGCCACTGTGCCCAGCCCATAGATTGTTTTTGGATAATACTGCGTCTCCTGAACAGCAATCAAAACATACCCTACAATGCAATTCACCCTCAAGATGTTATCAATTATTCACAACTCAGTATGAAAGAAGGATTAGAACAAAACTGTTTGGGGCAAACAAAATGGGATTGTAAGGGCCTTAAATATTTGGGTTCCTGAAGGATGTTCAGAAACCCTACATTGTCTTTCATATGTACCTGGATGCTCAGGAAATACACCAGGTATCGGCAGCAGAGGGTGGAATTGCCAAGTGAAAGAAAACAGTCTCCTCCCTCCCCCATGTATCCAAATCATACTTAAAAATTTAAGGCCCAGTGTGGTGGCTCATGCCTGTCATCCTAGCACTTTCGGAGGCTGAGGTGAGCAGATCGCTTGAGCTCAGTTTAAGACCAGCCTGGTCAACATGGTGAAAGCCTGTCTCTGCAAAAAATACAAAAAATTAGCTTGGTGTGGTAGCCTGCTCTTGTAGTCCCAGCTACCCAGGAGGCTGAGGTTCAGGATCACTGAGCCTGGTGGCTGAGGTGACAGTGAGCCCTGATCATGCTACTGCACTCCAGCCTAGGCGACAGAGCGAGACCTGGTTTCAAAAAAAGAAATTCAACTCAGGACGGGTCCAGTGGCTCACACCTGTAATCCTAGCACTTTGGGAGGCTGAAGTGGGAGGATCGCTTGAGGCCAGGAGTTCGAGACCAAGCTGGGCAACAAAGTGAGACCCCCTGATCTCTCTCTTTAAAAAAAAAAAAAAAAAAAATTCAAATCTGCCTTCTCAAGGACGTCTTTCCTTAGGTTCTAGTAACTTCTCTCCCTCTCAGCTCTGTCACAATTTTGGCAGGTACTAATTTCATAGGTCACAAACTCCAATGTAACTTTACTTGTAACTGACCTTAATTTTAAGCCCCTAGTCTTCTTAGCAGTGGAAAGCATATTTTTTTTTTGAGACGGAGTTTCGCTCTCGTTACCCAGGCTGGAGTGCAATGGCGCGATCTCGGCTCACTGCAACCTCCGCCTCCTGGGTTCAGGCAATTCTCCTGCCTCAGCCTCCTGAGTAGCTGGGATTACAGGCACGTGCCACCATGCCCAGCTGATTTTTTGTATTTTTAGTAGAGACGGGGTTTCACCATGTTGACCAGGATGGTCTCGATCTCTCGACCTCGTGATCCACCCGCCTCGGCCTCCCAAAGTGCTGGGATTACAGGCTTGAGCCACCGCGCCCGGCCCAAAACATCGACTTCTTGATCTCATTCACTGATTTGATTTTTTTTTTTTTTTAATTTTATGAGTACAACTGAATAATCAAAAGAAGTACAGAATCAATAGAAATATTATTGGTCTGCATTGAGAAAAATCATTTAAATAAACATATTCCCTAAATCCCCTTTCTGTTGGTTGCTTTTTGTTGCCCTAGACATAATGTCAAGCGGAAATGATCGGCGATCAGAGGCTCTTAGCAAACCCGCGTTCAGTGAGGAACAAGCTTCTGCGCTAATGGAGTCCGTGTTCGGGCTGAAAGTTTCCAAGGTCCGGCCACTTCCTAGCTATGACGACCAGAACTTTCATGTCTACGTCACAGAAACCAAAGACGGCCCCACCGAATACGTCCTCAAAATAAGCAACACCGAGACTAGCAGGAATCCGGACCTGATTGAAGTGCAGAATCACATCGTCATGTTTCTGAAAGCAGCTGGATTTCCAACAGCCTCCGTGTGTCGCACGAAAGGAGACAACACGACTTCCCTTGTGTCTGTAGGTAAGCGACAGCCCGTCGCTGATCAGCTGTCCGTGCACCACTGCATTTGGCCACAAGTAGAACCATGGAGAGCAGCTTCATAATTCCAAGTGCAGATGTGGTTGTTATTATTATTATTATTATTATTTTTTTGAGACGGAGTTTCGCTCTTGTTACCCAGGCTGGAGTGCAATGGCGCGATCTCCGCTCACCGCAACCTCCACCTCCTGGGTTCAGGCGATTCTCCTGCCTCAGCCTCCTGAGTAGCTGGGATTACAGGCACGCGCCACCATGCCCAGCTAATTTTTTGTATTTTTAGTAGAGACGGGGTTTCACCATGTTGACCAAGATGGTCTCGATCTCTTGACCTCGTGATCCACCTGCCTCGGCCTCCCAAAGTGCTGGGATTACAGGCGTGAGCCACCGTGCGCAGCGGTTATTATTTTTTTTTAGCAACCTCAATAGTCTACCTTTAGAGGTGCTGAGTTTTTCAGCATTAGGAGAAGCCGCAGCAGCATCAAAGTGGTCACTGGTCCTCTAAGTAGTGGTTAGAGCCCAGTGTTAAGTGTTCTGTTTAGAAAGGCCCTGACAGTCACTAAGCGGACCTGTGGAAATCAGGGGAACATTTTTTGTTTTGCTTTTTGTTTGTTTTGTTGGTGGTGGTTTTGGGGGGTTTTGTTTTTTGTTTTGTTTTGTTTTTTGAGACAGCGTCTCACTCTGTCACCCAGACTGGAGTGCAGTGGCACAGCACAGCTCACTGCAACTTTGACCTCCTGGGCTCAGGTGATCCTCCCACTTCAGCCTCTTGAGTAGCTGGGACTACAGGCACACGCCACCATGCCCAGCTAATTTTGTAGTGTTTTTGTAGAGACGGAGTTTCGCCATGTTGCTCAGGCTGGTCTTGAACTCCTGGCCTCAAGTGATCTGCCTGCTTCCCAAAGTGCCGGGATTACAGGCGTGAGTCACTCTTCCTGGCCTGTTTTTATTTAAAAATAAATAAATAATAAAAATAATAAAATATATTTATTACTTAGAGAAGCTATACATTCTGGTGCTGTGGTATAGTAAAAATGGCATAATACTGGAAATCAAGAATTCTAGATTTTAGCTTTGTCATTACTGTATATGTGACCTTCGACACATAGACCGCTTAAATCCCTGAGGCCACCAGTCCACATCTGTGAGACAGTCCCTTTCACCTTTAAATACCAAAATGCTAAGATGTGCCAAATTCAGCTCTTTAAAACAGCAGGCTAAAATCAATTTCTTCAAGTTTTTTAAAGGTTTGAAATCTTGATTTTCTTTTTCTCTCTTCATTGTTCACCATTCTTTCTTAATTTGCACTGTCCCCACCCAACACCTGAGGCCCACTGTGGTCCCTGAGACGTAGATATTGTACTGTGTTGCAAACACAGGCTGTCCCTCAATTTACCCCTGAAGAAGCCTGATTCTGGAAGTCATTTATTAGCACCTCACTTCCGTCAACTGTGAACTTATAAAAGAGTATGTATTTTTGCATTCACCTACCACAGTAGGTAATTTTTGTGTAGAGCGAAGGCCAGCAGAGTTAGGGCTATAATTTTGTTGGCATGTAAGTGGCCAGTTCCAATGTTCTTGAGGTTTCTGTAGCCCGCCTTCTCACTTGATCTGCTCCACTGTGCCTCACAGAATCCTGCCGAGTTGTTTCAGGTTAGCACATTTTCTCGTTCTGTTTTTTAATTTCTGTTCTTTTCAGTAATACTTGCAAAGGCAGAATAGCTTCTAATTCCATTACATCTAATTATCTATCTATCTATCTATCTATTTAGAATAATTGACAGGATATTTCATTTCATCTATTTAGATAGTGGCTCTGAAATCAAAAGCTACTTGGTGAGGCTGCTGACTTACCTCCCAGGAAGACCCATCGCTGAGATTCCCATCAGCCCCCAGCTATTGTATGAAATTGGAAAGCTAGCTGCCAACTTGGATAAGACACTGGAGGTAAGATTTGGGCTTTTATTTTATTCTAAGGGATGCTGGTTTGTTTGTTATTTTGTTTGTAAAATAAACTAAGAATCAGATTCTCTTTTTATGTGTGGTGCTCTACGTAAGGTACGTTATGAAGGGAATGGAGTTCTAGAATGCAAAAAAAATTTTTTTTTTTTTTGAGACGGAGTTTCGCTCTTGTTACCCAGGCTGGAGTGCAATGGCGCGATCTCGGCTCACCGCAACCTCCGCCTCCTGGGTTCAGGCAATTCTCCTGCCTCAGACTCCTGAATAGCTGGGATTACAGGCACGCGCCACCATGCCCAGCTAATGTTTTGTATTTTTAGTAGAGACGGGGTTTCACCATGTTGACCGGGATGCTCTCGATCTCTTGACCTCGTGATCCACCGGCCTCCGCCTCCCAAAGTGCTGGGATTACAGGCGTGAGCCTCCGCGCCCGGCTGAATGCATAAATAAGGCTAACTTCTGCCTAACTCTTACTGGTGTGGGCTGGGTGCAGTGGTCCATACTTCCCGCCTTCGCCTCCCAAATCTCAGCACTTTGGGAGGCTGAAGCAGAGGGATCACTTGAAGCCAGGAGTTTGAGACCAGCCTGACCAACATAGTGAAACCTTGCATCTTCTAAAAACTACAGTAATTTAGGGCATGGTGGCATATGCCTGTAGTCTCAGCTACTCGGGAGACTGAGGCAGGAGAATCGTTTGAGTCCAGGAAGTAGAGGTTGCAGTGAGCCGAGATCATACCCCTACATTCCAGTCTGCACAGCAGAGCAACACTGTCTCCAAAATTTTTTTTTAATTAAAAAATAAATAAATCTTACTAGTGTATTGGAAAGATTACCTAAATTTTTAGAAATTCATCATATTCTTTATGCTGCTCACTGAAAACAGTCCATATTCACCAATGGAAACCTGAAGATTTCATCCAGACAGAGTCTAAGCAGCTGGAGCTCCATATGAAGCAGTAGTAAGTTGCAAATGAATTAATAACGTATGTCAAGGATGTTTTTGTCCTATAGAAACAATATAATGTACAACAGACACCTTTTAGACCTGCCCATAAAAATCTTCATTTATTCAGTAAATATTGTGAGTACCTTTAATGTTATTTTAAAAATCATAGGAAAAAGGAGATGTATTTACTATTTATTAAGTGGAAATAGATCATCATAAAGGTCTTTACTGTCATCCTCACTTTGAGTGGGCTGAGGAGGAGGAGGAGAAGGGGTTGGTCTTTTATTTATTTATTTATTTTTGAGACAGGGTCTCACTGTGTCTCCCAGGCTGGAGTGCAGTGGTGCGGTCACAGCTTAATGCAGCCTTAACTTCCCAGGCTTAACCAATCCTCCCACCTCAGCCTCCCAGGTAGCAGGGACTACAGGAGACTGCCACCACACCTACCTAATTTTTGTATTTTTTGTAGAGACAGGGCTTCACTATGTTGCCCAGGCTGGTCTCAAACTCTTGAGCTCAAGCAATCTTCCTGCCTCTGCCTCCCAAAATGCTAGGACTACAGGCATGAGCTAACCCATGCCTAGCCAGGGGTTTGGTCTTTGTATTAGGCCATTCTCACACTGCTATAAAGAAATACCCGAGGCTGGGCACAGTGGCTCAGGCCTGTCATCCCAGCACTTTGGGAGGCTGAGATGGGTGGATCACCTGAGGTGAGGAGTTCGAGACCAGCCTGGCCGACATGAAAAACCCATCTCTACTAAAATACAAAAATTAGCTGGGCATGGTGGTGCATGCCTGTAGTCCCAGCTACTTTTGGGGGCTGAGGCAGGATAATCACTTGAACTCAGGAGGCGGAGGTTGCAGTGAGCCGAGATCGAGCCACGGCTCTCCAATCTGGTCAACAGAACAAGACTCCATCTCAAAAAAAAAAAAAAAAATCTCTTTATCTCTAGTTTTGAGCAGTTGATAAGGCGTGACTTTGTATAGTTTTCTTCATGTTTCTTATGCTTGGGATTCCTGGAGTTCCTTCAGTGGCTGTAGTGAAGTTACTAGGAAGCAATTTGATCCTTTGGGGTCGTGCTTTTTCTACTTGATAGATGGGACCGAGGATCAATTTACTACTGATCCAAATCCTTCAGCGTCTTGTGAACTGTAAGGTTTTCCAGAGTGGATGGTAGGAACAGGCGCTCTTCCTGACCCTGTGCGTGCCGTGTACTCTTGCCTCTAACCCTCTCAGGCGGTTCTCTCCCCAGCTTTGAGTAGTTTCCCCACATTTACACGTGGATCATACACAATCTGCTAAATTCTCAAGGGGGACGCAATGCAGCTCTCTGGAGTGCCGTCTCTGCCGCGCTCTCATCTCTGGTAATCTGTCATGCAAACTCAAGCTGCCGTGATCTCCCGGGACTCTCAGCTCTACCTCCTCAACTCAGAGTCCTCTGGGCACCACCTGGGTCTTCCCTCTCTGCACTGTGTTCTCTGTCAAGGCAGTGAGCTTGGGTGAACTTGCCTTGTTTATTTTATTCTATTTTGTTTTTTGAGATAAGGTCGCCCAGGCTGGAATGCAGTGGTGCGATCTCAGCTCATGACAACCTCTACCTCCCAGGCCCACGCGATTGTCCTGCCTCAGCCTCCTGAGTAGCTAGGATAACAGGTACGCACCACCACCGCACAGCTAATTTTTTTTGTATTTTTAGTAGAGACAGGGTTTTAGCATGTTGGCCAGGCTGGTCTTGAACTCCTGACCTCAAATGATCCACCCGCCTCGGCCTCCCAAAGTGCTGGGATTATGGCACGAGCCACTACACCCAGGCCCCTTGTTTGTTTTCATTTTCTCAGGGATCACTGTCTTTCATTCCCCAACATCTAATAACTTGAAAACCAGTGTTTAATGGATTTTGTCCACTGTTTTTGCTTTTTCTGGCAGGAGGGTCAACCTCCCATGACACCCCTCTTGGCCCAAAACTGAAGACCATCTTGCATTGTAAATAGTATTCATTTACCCTTAGATCCTCAAATAGAAATACTGTAACCTTTTTTTCTGATTAAAAAATCCTTCTGTGGTTCATTACTTAAAGAAAACCAGATAAAAATACAAAGAAAAATGAAGTTGCCAATAATCTCATCCTCCAGAGATGACATTCTCTGACCCACTTAGCCATGTGCCATACTATTCTACAGCCCCAGGAATATCCTTGGTGCTCAGCCAATGTTTATAAACCCACAGACCTTTTCCTATACTTATAGTAATCACCATTTTATATTGTACTCTATTCATTTATTCGACAAATATTTATTGAGCTTCTGCAAGGGTTTGCGTGGTAAACATATTAAGCATTTCAGTTGAAATTGTTTTCAGTTAAGTTTGAGCAAATTCTTTTATGGATTTGCATTAAAATGTTTGTTCATATTAATATAATTCAGATTTAAATAGTTACAATTAAATTTATTTTTAGGAAATTTTCTTTACATATTAATTTTTATTTATTTATTTATTTATTTATTTATTTTTGAGATGGAGTCTTGCCCTGTTGGCAGCTGGAGTGCAGTGGCATGATCTCAGCTCATTGCAACCTCTGCCTCATGGGTTCAAGCGATTCTCCTGCCTCAGCCTCCCGAGTAGCTGGGACTACAGGTGCGTGCCACCACGCCCAGCTAATTATTTTTGTATTTTTAGTAGAGACGGGGTTTCACCATGTTGGCCAGGATGGTGTCGATCTCATGACCTTGTGGTCTGCCTGCCTTGGCCTCCCAAAGTGCTGGGATTACAGGCATGGGCCACCATGCCTGGCCCACATGTTAATTTTATTTAGAAAAACCTTTGAACTGGGCCAGGCGCGGGGGCTCATGCCTGAAATCCCAGCACTTTGGGAGGCCAAGCTGGGCAGATCACTTGCAGTCAGGAGTTTGAGAACAGCCTGGTCAACGTAGTGAAACCCCATCCTTACTAAAAATAAAAATTATCAGTGCGTGGTGGCAGGCACCTGCAATCCCAGCTACTTGGGAGGCTGACACAAGAAGAATCACTTGAACCCAGGAGGCGGAGGTTGCAGTGAGGCAAGATCACGCCACTGCATCCAGCCTGGGCAAAAGAACCAGACTCCATCTCAAAACAAACAAACAAACAACAAAAAAAACCTTTGACGTGATTGTAGTGCTCAGTAAACTCTGTCTACCTTAAACCTACTAAATGAGCTGTTTAAATTACTGTCTGTTACATAATAGTTTTCCCTTACCAGCCACCTTTCCTTCTGCCCCGTGGGCTTCATTCATATGCCTTGGCCACCGAACTTGCAACTTTTCCCACTATATTCTGAAAAGTAATACCGTTTTCAGAGGGAAATAGCACCCCATCATTGCTGATGGTGAGTTTCTGCTGTGCATTTAGCCATCAGCTGCTGTGCTATGCAATTTATTTTAAGTTGTCTTACAGGGGACGAGGGCGCTCTAGAGGGAACCCAGCATTCTCCACTTGGCATCGCAGTGCATTTCACCCTGCATTATTCCTGCTGCTCACCCAGTCCCACCCGATGCCTTTGCAGAAGCTAAGTTCTCAGTTTTTCTCTGAGTACTAAGAACTGTAGAGTCTATAAAAGGTAACACACAAGTGTGGTATTTTAGTCATGTAGGCAGGACCAAAGCTGTGGCTGCTCTGCTGGGGACATGGTTGGGCCCTTGAAGCCTCCAGCAGTCGGTCAGGCATGACTGTGGGATCCAAAGTAGGCAGGAGTTCTGGGGACTGTAGGGGCCGGAACTGAGGAGTTCACAGTGAAGAGACCAGCTCGTACGGGAATTTGGTTGTTTGGTCTGCAGGTGGGCTGGAAGTCAATCTCAGGAGATTTCATTAATCATAAAAAAAGAGCCGGGCGCGGTGGCTCAAGCCTGTAATCCCAGCACTTTGGGAGGCCGAGGCGGGTGGATCACGAGGTCAAGAGATCGAGACCATCCTGGTCAACATAGTGAAACCCCGTCTCTACTAAAAATACAAAAAATTAGCTGGGCATGGTGGCATGTGCCTGTAATCCCAGCTACTCAGGAGGCT